TGCTTACCAGCAGCAGCAGCAGCAGCAGCAACAGCAGCAGCAGCAACAGCAGCAACGACAGAAACAGCAGCAACAGCAACAGCAGCAGCAGCCAAATCAGGCGACAGAGGTAGCAATCGTAGAAGTAGTTGTAGCTGTTCACTACACTGCTGAGTTTCGAGCTTTCAGCTGTATAAGAATTCATAAACCCTAAACCCTAAACCCTAAACCCTAGAGTGCTTTGGGTTTGTGTTGGGGGCGCAGGGGACCTCTCCCTATGGGTGGCCGCGGATGGCTTTCTGCATATACGGTAGAGATTGGTATGTATTTCTGTTTGTTTCAGCATTTTATTTTAATTATTTTATATATTTTTCTTCACATATTTTACATGTTTTTGTCGGTGTTATCGATAAAACACATTCGTCCGTTTGAAATAATAATTTCTTCTTTTCTTTATTTTTCCTTTTTTCTGTATTTAGCCAGTTTTCTCTGTTTGTCACCTTCAGCTGTATCCACTACTCTGATTCTGTTTCAAAAAATATTGTGAATCATCGAGCTTTCTATTTCATAAATTATTATTATTATGCGTTTCATATATCTCGTCAAACATTTTCATGAAATATTTCCATGAAATATTCTCGTGAAACATTACCATGAAATATTTTCATAAAATATTCCTTCTCATGAAAAAGTCTCATAAAATATTTTCATAAAATATTTTCATAAAATATCCTTTCTCATGAAACATTCTCATAAAATATACTCATGAAATATCCTTTCTCATAAAATATCCTTTCTCATAAAATATTCTCATATCCTTTCTCATGAAACATTCTCATAAAAAATTTTCATAAAACATCCCTTCTCATGAAACATTCTCATAAAATATTTTCATGAAATATCCTTTCTCATGAAACATTCTCACAAAACATTTTATTCATGAAACATTTTCATGAAATATTTCCATGAAGCATTTTCATGAAACATTTTCATGAAATATCCCGATAAAACATTCATATTCACGAAACATTCCGATGAAACATTTGCACGAAAATTTCACATAAAATATCCTATCGTATGAAACATTTTCATGAAATACTCTCGTGAAATATTCTAATGAAATATATATTTTATCTGAATGAAAATTTCTCTATCATTAAACATTATGTTTCAAGAACTTTTTTGTTCTGAAATTTTCTTCCTCGTGCCGCATTCTGTTTCAACAAAAATATTCTGTTTCATGAAAAATTTTATTTTGAAAAAGAAAATATTCAGTTTCATGAAACTTTCTTATGAAATATTTCATCTTATGAAACATTTTTTTCTTAAAAAATATTCTGTGTATGAAATACTCCTCGATAGGCAATTTGCCTCATAAAATATTTTCTCTTAAGAAGTATTCAGTTTCATGAAACATTCTCTCAAGAAGCATTCATGTATATATATATATATATATATATATATATATATATATATATATATATATATATATATATATATAT